TAATGCTGCTGTGAACATGGTTGTATAACTCTCTGAGTTTCTACAAAATCTGTTTTACTTTTTTCAGGAAGTGTCAGATTTTCTGCAGTGCCTATCTTGCTTTTACATTTTTACCATCAGTGAATGGGGCTGAAGTTTCTTCACATACTTGCGGTCACTTGTTCCTTTCTGGTATTATAGTAGTCATTCTAATGAGAGTAAATTGGTATCTCATAGTTTTGATATGTCTTTCCCTAATGACAAATGCTGTTAAATGTCTGTGTTCTCTGGAAAAACATGTATTGTAGTCCTTTGCTTGTTTTTAATTAAATTTTCCTTTTGTTGAAAAGTTATAGTTCTTTATGTATTCTGAATACAAATTTCATTAATGTTTGATTCACAGGTGTTTTTTTCTCGTTTTGTGTATCCCTTCACTTTATTGGTATGTGCAAGAGTTTTTAATTTTGATGAAATCCATTTTCTTCTTTTGCTGCTCGGGACTTTGGTATCATCTCTGAGAATCCATGGCTAAGTCAGAAATCATAAACATAGGCCAACCAGATAGCTTAGTGGACTAAAGCACCTGCTTAGGCAGAGTGCAGTGGCCGGGGTTCCATCCCCAGCTTGCCGTGCTGGCCCCACCTGCAGGGCACACCGAGACAGCGATTGCGACTGGGTGTGGTGGCGCATGCCTGTAATTCCATAGCTTGGGAGGCTGAAAACAGGAGAATTACTAGGAGTCTGATCTGTGTAGTGAGACCCTGTAGACTGTGTAGACCCTGTACTAAATACATTTTAAAAAATCATGAACATTTACCCATATTTCTATTTCTAGTGATTTTAAAATTTTATCTCTTTACATTTAGATCTTTGGTCCATTTTCAGTTAGTTTTTGTGTGGCAGAAGATGAGCAGCCAACCCCACTTTTTCTTTTATTAAATGCTAATATAAATGGCATTAAATATTTATTAAAAACATAATATGTGCCAGGAAAGTCTCTAAGCTCTTTGTATATATTAACATATTTAGTTATCACAACACTTTGCAATATGGATTCTTACTGTTCTCAGTTTTAGGTGAGGAAGCTGAGGCTCAGAGTAAAGGAATGTGTCCTGAGAGCAAGAGTTGCGAATGGTAGAATTGGGACTCAAACTCAAGTTGTTTAATGGTGAGCCCACTTAGCTCCTCTGGTACACAGAGAACCCAGTGTGAGAAGATGCACACCACAGCCAGAAAGCAAGCGCCTCAGGGTCCAGCTGGACCTCTGATGTCTGCAGACTGGGGTGTTTCGTTGTTTTGAGCCTATTAATTATAAAGAATAGCGGGTCTCAGTCGGACATACTCATTCATGCATTTAACATACTGTGATCACCTGTATTTCACTTCCCTCCCCCTTTTTTCTACCAGTCTCCTTTTTAATTTCATGTCTTCTCCTTTTAAAACATTTTTCTTTCACATTTCTTATGAAAGAGAAAGCATAGTGACTTCCCTCCCAATTCTGGCTTATTTCATGTAACATAATCTCTAGTTCCATCCCTTTTACTGCAGTTCATATAACTTTGTTATTCATGGTTGAATAATACTCCATTGTATGTATGGACCAAATTTTAGGTGTTCTTCTGTCAGTGGGCTTGTAGACTGTTCTGTAGGTAAGCAGTTGTCAGTTGCACTGGGGTAAACATGGGCATGCAGGCGTCTAGAGTACACTAGACAGTCTTTCCAGGCCAGCCCGAGGAGTGATATAGGTGGATGAAGTGGTAGCACTTGTTTCAGCTTTTGGAGGCCCTTCATTACTGATTTCCATAATGGCAGTGTTCATTCACATCCCTACTGCCAGTGTAGAAGCCCCACTTTCCCGCCCACAGCTGCGCTCCCTCATCAGCATTTGCTGGATTTTGTATTCTTAATGATAATGGCTCTGCTTGGGTGAGATGGAATCTCAGTGTAGTCTTTCTTTGCAGTGCCCTGATGGCAGAGTTGTTGAACACTTTTTCGTACACTTATTGGCCATTTGAGAAATATCTGTTCAATTCATTTGCTCTTTTTTCACTTTTGTTGTGTGTATTTTTTAATTCTTTAATTTATTCTTTGTTAGAAGCAGAGCTACCAAAGACCATTCTCTGGGCTGTCGCTTCACATTCATTCTTTTCGTTATGCAGATACTTTTAAATTTGATATAATTCTATTTGTTGATGCTTTTTTTTTTTTGTGGCAGAACTGGAGATTGAACTGAGGCCCTTGTGCTTGCCAGGGAAGCACTTATTCCACTGAGCCATCTCTCCAGCCCCTATTTGTTGATTTTTGATATTATTTCCTGTACTATTGGCCTCCTATTCAAGAAGTCTTTGTCTGACTTTGAAAGACTTCATTGTTCACCCCCCCCCATGTGTTCTTCTAGGAGTTCACCTAGGTCTTTGATCCGTTTTGAATAAATTTGGTTCAGTGTGAGAGAGATGGCTTTATTTCCTATCTCCTACATACAGCAATCAGATGGCTGTAGTTTCTTTGCCTTTACTCCATTGTTCTGCATATTTATTTTTTGTCTAAGTACCATGCTGTTTTTATCGCTGTACCTTTGTAGTATATTTTGAAGTTGAATATTTGATGTCTGCAGCAGAGCTGCTCAAGATTGCTTGCCTCCTATGTGTCTTATGTGCTTTAGGATAGTTTTTTTTTCTAATTCTGTAAAGAATATTGTTGGGCTGGGAAGACAGCAGTCTAAGCACCTGCCTGTCAAGCACGAGGACCCAAGTTCAATCCCTGGTACTGCATGCCACACCAGTCCCAGAATCTAGGTATGCTGCACCAACCCCGAAACCAGGTATGGTGTCACACACCTATAATCCCAGTGCTAGAGAGACTGAGATAGGATCACTACAAGTGTGAGCTGGGTAGTGAGACCCTGTGCCAAGTAAATAAATGAAAGGTTAAAAATAAAGTGGAATCTGAAGGGTACAGTAGATACTGGGAAAAGAGAATGAATTTATTCAAAAGGAAAGAATTACTGAGTTGAGGAGGTTCCAGGGCCAGCAAGGGATACAGTACTGGGGATCAAATTCAGGTCTTTGCACTTGCCAAGCAGGTGCTTAGACTGCCCAGGTATCTCCCCAGTTCCCAGATTCCACTTTCTCTTTTAGGTTTTTACCCTAAGGAGACAGTATGATGTTTGCACAGGTGGGTTGGATTTATTTCACTTAAGAGTATGTACTCTAGTTGAATCCATTCACCAAGAAAAGACTCAAATTGATATTGTTTTTTTTTTTTTCGGAGCCAGGGATTGAACTCAGGCCCTTGTGCTTGGCAAGCAAGCACTTATTCTACTGAGCCATCTCCCTCAATCCTGTTTTATAACTGTGCCCCTCAATCCTGTTTTATAACTGAATAGCACTCCATCATGTGAAACTACCACATATTCTTTATCCATTCTTCAGTTGATGGGCACCTGGGTTGTTTTCAGGATTTAGCTATGACAAATTGTGCTGCTATAAACATGGTGCACAGATATGGCTGTGGTATGAGGTTTTCAGTTCTTTTGGAAAAATACCCAGGATGAGAATAGCTGGCTTGAATGGGATCTCAAATCCTGTCTTTTTAAAGGAATCTCCATACAGATTTCCATGGTAGTTGTACCAGTCTGCACTCCCACCAGCAGTGGAGAAGGCTTCCTTTGTCCTGACAGGCCCATCAGCATTTGTTATTGGCAGACTTTTTGATGTTAGCCATTCTTTCTAGGATGAGATGGAATCTCAGTGTTGTTTTAATTCACATTTCTTGAATTACCAATGATGTTGAACATTTTAGATTTTTTTAAAAGATTATCTGTGGTATATAGACATTTTGCTCATTTGATGTTACTTCTTTATAATCTATTCTTTCTATAAACTTTAGGGTTAATTTGACCTTTCTCCTCCTGAAGTACAGTTAAATTGTTTCCAGTTTCTTGTTTTAATAAGCATTCTTATCCATGCTCATTTTTCACATGCTTGAAAGCTTTTATTATCTAGTTCTTAATCAAGGACAATTTTGCTTGCAGGCAATACTGCCAATGTTTGGAGACATTTTAAATTATCAAGACTGGGGAGGAGTTTGATGAGAATATCATTTAGTGGTTACAGTCCAGAGATGCTTTAGAACATCCTATGAGACAAGAAAAAACTCATACCCACCCAGAACAAAGAATTATTCGGTTATCCAAAATTCTCAGTTTGCCAAAATTGAGAAACCCTTCTCTGAGATACAAACTTAGGAGTGGAATGTATAAACCTTATGGTATGCTCAGTGTTTTATTATCGTTTAAATGAATTTCTGTAAAGCATAAAAAATAATTACATTACAAGTAGATGTTTGGAATTAAAGTTGAAGCTGCTTTGGTAGTGCTGGTAAAAGAAAGATCATAAATAATTTGGATACCTCAAATCAGGCTGAGCTGAAGCCATTGTTCTGTATTAACAAGTTGCTTTACTTACCTAGGGTATGCATTGGGTCATCTTTAGGAACTGAAATACATTGCAGTTTCTGCTTGGTCAAAGATTAATTTTAGGTTGAGATCTGTTTCAAAAAATGGACATTGTAGAAAATGGTAGTTTATTAAGCTATTAAGCTAAACCTGCAGACTGAAGAAGAGCAGAATTAAACATGAAAAATATGCATGTTTTTCCTGGCAAAGATGGTTGTTAAATATTGAGGGTTTGAAAAGACTTTAAAAATTCCCTTCTCTCTGGTGTGTTTTAAATTTTAATTGAAGATAAGGGAATAGACTTAATGAATTTTGAGACCCATGGTCCTCTTTGAAAATCTGATGAAAGCTATGGCCCTGGAAGTAGGTACTAAAAATAATGTATATTTGAATATTGCTATCTAACTCCTTAACCAAATGGAGAGAATTTAGTGGTATTAAAAAATAGGTGAGTCAAAGCGCAGAATTAGGTGACTCAGTTATAATTCCTGTACTTCTTAAATAATTAGTTAACACAGATCTTCATTTTATATCTGTAACCTTCATTTTTCTTTCTCTTTACTAGGTTTATGCAGCAGCATTAAGGCAACAAGCTAACGAAAACAGACAAAATGCAGCTGGAAAAGCACGTTTTGGCACCGCCCTCTCAGAAGAAAAGCTTAATGACTTCCGTGATGAACAGATTGGACAGTTACAGGAACTGATGCAAGAGGCTACTAAACCCAACAAGCAATTTAGTATTACTGAATCTACAAAACGAAAATTTTAGTAACTGTAGTAGAGTTTTAAAAAGCATGCAAGGGCCTGAAGATACAGCTCTGCAGCACAGCTCCTGCCTGGCAGGTGCAAGGTCCTGAGTTTGATTCCTAGTATCCCCCAAACCAATAAATGGATAAATAAGTAGCATGTAAATTTCATGTAAAATTTAGAAACTGTAACTATCATTGACTTTTAAAATTTTTTATTTCAGCTTTAAAAGTGCCTGAACTTTATTATTTTGGCATTAATAAAGTATGCTTTTATTTTTGGATAGTAAAAATAAAATATTGTTCTTATTCTCTTTAAGATAAAAAAGAATAAAGTAAGTGAATCAAGTAGACAGTTGAAAAACTTGAGGACATTTTGGAATAATAGTACTTGTAGAATGGAATTTAATTTTTAGATTAAATAAGAAAGGCTGTAGAACAGACAAACTTGAATTTTCCCGAGAATATTTTTTGTTTATAAATTTATCTCACTAGTTTTGTTTGTTTCTTGAGACGAGGTCTCGCCATGTCGTTCAGGCTGTCCCTGAATTCACTATATAGCCCAGGCTGACCTCGAACTTGCGGCAGTCTTCCTGCCTCAGCCTCTCAGTGTTGGGATTACAGATGTGCCTCACCACACTGGCTAATATAAATTTTATTTAAATATTATTTTTACTCAAGCATTTGCTTTAGGGCTACTTTTTATCATGGTAAAAATAGATGTGGATTCCAACAAGTTCATGAAATATCCTGTCATTCTGAAACTTTTATCATTTTACTTCAATTATATTTGTTTTTCAATGCTTAAAATTTTTATTTTGACCAATTTTACATGCTTGTGTCTGTAATCTGAGCAACTACATTAAAGACCACAATGTACTATATGATAACCATTATTAAATACCCAAAAAGATTCAGTGCTGTGCTATCATTTATATTATAGATTATGCAAACTATGGTCTTTATGCAGTGTTTTAACAAGTGAACCTTTAAATTATTTTAGTTAATTTGAGAATTTGACTTACTGCCTAATGATTGGGAAGATTAAAGACACGTCTACAACTTTTGTATATGTTTAAGTTGGTTTATGAATTTAAAATCAAATATTTAAAATCTGCAAGTGTCAGATATCATTCTAGGAATGGGATGCTATCGCAGTTGTCAAAGACAAAGCATGTGTGCTATGGAATTCACACTGTAAAGGAGGAACCATGATACATAAATATTATGCATAAGGTCCTACGTACTGTGGGGAAAAATTAAGCGGTGATAGGTTTGTCGCTCCCCAGCTGTGACCTGAGATGCCTTGCGATACCAAGAACTCAGAGACGTTGAAGAATTCACTGCTGCACTTGCTAGATGCCGCACAAATAACTACAAGTAATCCACGCTTTGACTTTTAGATTGCTGCTTTCTTTTAATAATCCATGAGGCTGGACTTTAGTGATGCTGAAGTTAGTAACAAAAAATGAAGGTGGAGGTGTCCGCCAGGATTACACAGCTTGAGAAATTGGATGGAGTCCAACATGTATAGCTTGACGGGACCAGGGCGGTGGCTCAGTAGAATAAGTGCTTCCCTGGCAAGCACAAGGGCCTGAGTTCAATCCCTGGTTCTGCCAAAAAGACAAAAAACCAAAAAACAAAAAAAGAAAACTTTGGGCTAGGGAGATGGCTCAGTGGAATAAGCACTTCCCTGGCAAGTGCAAGGGCATGAGTTCAATTCCCAGTTCTGCAAAAAAAAAACAAAACCCAACAACAACAAACCAATAAAGCTTGAGCGTTGTGCATGCTAGGCAAACACTCGACCACTGAGCTACACCCCCAGCCGAACACTTAAAAGTCTTTAAAAACATACTGACTGGATTGATAAAATTAAGACTTTTACTGTTACGCTTTTGTCTAGATGTACTGTAAAAATACTGAGATGCCAAGAATGTGTAAGCTGAGAAAGGTTGAGAACTGCTGACTTGGGGCGTGTCGGGGAGTAGTCTTTGAGTAGTCTTTAGGTCACACACCATGATTAGTGTCCACTACTGCTTTCATTGTCATCTTTCTCTAGTTTCTGTCATCACTTCAGCCATCTACTCTAGAGCATCACCTCCTTGTCTTTCCCCTCTTTTAATCTCTTCTGCCAAGATAACCAGCCTTTCTCTTGTCAAAGTCAGTGGGCTATCAATCAGTGTAAGAGTGTTATGTTACCTTGAGGTTTGAACATAGCATTATCTGTGTTTCTTGCTTGATAGTGTCCAGGGTTTCATGCTCAGGGTTCTCATCTATTTAACCATTGTTTCAAATATTAGTTATGTTCTTAAATCTAATACAAACTGAAATCTCATTTCTAAATTTCACATATGTTCAAAATTTCTTGTAGCATTTTCAACTCATAAAAGATCAAAGTTTTCTTTCCTCCTCAGTGAATGAACATCTATCTGAGTTAACCAGTTTGAATTCCATAGTTCACCTTAGATTCTTCTGTTCCCCTTTAGGCCTCCTTATTGTTAGCAACATTACATAATTGATGGCAAATGGCTGTAGTTTTCTACCAGTCCTTTTGCAAGATGACTTTACAGTTCCTCCTATGATTCATTTCGCAGCTTTTCAAATTTGGGTTGACTTTGTGAATAGATTTGCTTAAAAGAATGGTGAGGTGGCATTATGCAGAGTTAGGGTCTAGGCTTCTGAGCCCAGCATAGTCCCACTGACACTGTTGGAAACCTGCTCAGCTACTGTGCAGACAAGTTGGCACTGGCCCTGTAGAGTCGCAGGCCCCGTGATGCAGAGTGAATGGCTAGGCTGCAGCTGCCCCACACCAGCCTGCTATGCCCAAGGGCAGGCACCTGCCAGAGATCATTTAAATTTAGATTAGCAAAGACTTTTTAATGACATTGGATGTAATATATAGATATGTTGTAAAATGTTAGATTTCCTTGTGAGTAATGCCTGACTGGTCTCCTACTGAAAAGTGAAACTTCAGTAGAATTTTTTTAAGAAGTGATTTTAGATGCATCCAGGACCTTCAAGTAGCCTAACAAGTGAAGTATTTATAAGGCTAACATTGCTTAGTGCAATTGGTGCAGGCTCTTTTTCCAGAGGGCGAATTTCAGATTTCATTTTGATTGTGCCTAGAAACACTAAAGACAAAATACAAAGCTTGAGCCCTTGGAAGTCAGTATCCTAAGGATGAAGCCCCTTGGGGTAAGGGTGAGTCAACAGCCTGCTGTAGTATTTATGCAGCTTGTAGGTCATCCCAAATGCAAGTCATCTATGTGCTAAAAAAAAAAAACAAAAGTAAATTGGTCCCCAAATAAGTGCCTGGACGATATAAACAAGCATTTGGAAGATAGCAAGGTCACAGTTTTCTTAGCAAAATGGGTGCCTTATGTTTAAATAAACTCCACAAGGAAAGCTAGCACCACAACTAAGGCAGCAAAGGTAGATCACCAGAAAACTCAGATACTGAAATTAGCCCATTCATAATACAAAGGCCATGTGTTAGAATGAGTTGCTTATAATGTCTATGGGAATCAAGGCATTATAAAATTGGCTAGCATAATTGAGAAAGAATGAAGTAAAACTTTTACAAAGGAAGAACAGAATAACTAAAAGCAAACACCCTAAACAGATTCAACAGAAAGTAAGATAGATCCTAAGTAAGCATTAGAGACTAGGGTATAGCACAGAATAAACCCAGAATGCTGCATAGAAAATTAGCTTGAAAGTATGGGTGTGCAAGAAAAGGCAAAAAAAGGTTTAATGTCGACCTAATAGTTTCAAGTGGGTGATGGGATGGAAGCAATATTTAAAGATAGAGCTGTTGAGAATTTTTCAAGTAAAAAATTACAAGATGTGAAATTCTCACTTTGACGTATAAACAGTGAACACTGAGGACAAAGCTTTGTTAAATTAGCCAAACAAGTTCCAAGTAACCTGGCAAAGGGTATCGGGTATCAGAGAGCGAACCAGATCCCTGGCTGGGACTGGCAAGTCCGCTGTTTCCATCTTCTCCACTATACTTCTCAGAAAAATGTGCTGGGAATATGCTGGTAATGGAAAATCCTGCAGTAAGACGAGAGTGTCCAGAACAGCCTGGACTCTATTCCTGTCCCTCCTAGGACAGGATGTCCTTTGTAACAATCCGATTAAATTGCATTGTCAACTTAATTGGCTTTATAGCCACCCAGGGGATTAGTAAAGCACACTTTGGGGTGTGTGTACGTGAGTCATGGAGGCATGACCTTGGGAACCATATCTGGTCTTTGGTCCTTCCCTCTTTTTTTCCACTTAAGTGCCCCGAAATCTTGGTGACAATAAGCTATGTGGCTTTGTTCCATCATGCCCTTCCACCATGATGTTCTTCCCTTGGAATAGCCCAGCATGGTCTGAATCCTCTAACATGATGACTTAATTTAAATCTCTCCTTTCAGTTCTGGGTGTTGGATATCATGTCCTAGCAACAGGAAGGCTTACCAGTACAACCTTCCATTGCAGCTCAACATATAAGGTCACCCGCAGGGTAGAAATCAGGGAGGACCACCTTCCAGGGCCTTCTGCTGCAGTGCAGGTGAGTATGCAGACAGAGTTCCAGCTGCTCTTATCTCTTGCTGCTTATCTATGAGTAGTAAGTGGAGTTCGTGTAATATGTGTGTCAGTGTTTTCTCACCAGACTTGCAGGTACTAAAATTGCTATGGAAGATGCAGTGGATGGAAGTTATAACCATTGCATGGTGAATCTTCCTCACCACTAAAGCTTCAGCTGATTCTCAGCGGTAGTAATGGAAAGTAGGAACTGGTTAAATGACTAATGTGTTCAACGAAAGTTAACTTCCAACTTAAAATTCTGTACCTAATATATATATATATATATATATATATATATATATATATATATATATAGTTTATGTATATAGTTTATATATTGTTTATATACATATATAGTTCATATATATATGTAGTTCAAGAATGATGGTAGAAAGTCTCTGATACCAAAATAGGTTGAATCCTGCAGATTCTGACGAAAGGAAAGTATGTATGACATAGTAGAAGGAGATTTCAAAAAGAATTGACCAGGAAGATTGTAAGTACGGATGAATCTAAAAGACATTTACCATATGGAACAGTGATGTCTTGTGGAATTTAAAAATGAGAGATTTAA